TGGCGGGCGGGCGCGCGGCCGGGCGCGGGGTGCTGGTGCTGGTGAGCTCTCCGCCGCCGCCCCCGCGCGTCTTCTTGCCGTACAGCGCCTGGATGCCGTCGATGTCGTCGGGGTGCAGGGTGAAGGCGGGCTCGTACCCCCTGCGGAGAGACAATTCCCACGTGTTGGAGACTGTCATGTGGCGCTTTTAAATTTCAAGTACCGTCGCGAGGGCTGGAAATCTAATGGACTTGGTTCACACATTTACATTAACAAAGAAATGGTAGCACGTATATATCGAATTTTAATAGAATTTATGAGTATTAGATTACCTCATTTTCAACTAGTCTGGACAATTAACGGAAATTTCGTTTAATTGTCACTGACAGTTATACTTTAATGTAATAAAAGTCGTGTAATATTCTCGTACTTAACTCAATCATTTTGTTTAGTGTTAATAAGAATAATAATTGGCCAACCGTTTTTACGGTGATTTAAAATAAAAGGAGGTGCAGTTTGTGATTGTACACAATCCCAAGTCGTTCTTCCCAACATGCTTACAGACTAGCAGAACAATGTTAATGAATATAAATGTTAATGAAGGTAATTGAAGTATGAATGAAGAGAGTATAATTGAACAAGGGCTCTTCCGAAGAGTTGAAGCACGCGCCAAGTAAGGGCGGCTTCCCACGCCGCGGCAGAAGCGCGGCAGAAAACCCTCCGGCGACGACGGACAAAGGGACCGAAGCAGGTACCTGCTGCGGTCCCTTTGTCCGTCGTCGCCGGAGGGTCTTCTGCCGCGGCGTGGGCAAGGGCCCTAAGGGTCGTTTAAAGTCACGACCTTTCGAGTTGCTTCGACCCGCTGAGGGTCTTTAAGAAGAAAGAAAATGATTCTTTGTGTATAAAAACAACAGCAAATATATACTTTTGTTTAAAATGTGTAGGTGTTTCGAAAGATTCTCGTTAGAAGGCCAAATATTAAAAAAAGTGTGATTTGCATTAAACGACGAAAAGGATTCGGAAAGCGATCGCCTAGCATTGCTGCAGGCAGAGCCGGCTGCGCTCACCTGTAGAAGGGCGCCATGAGCGCGGCCTTGACGTCGGAGTGCGACAGGCCGAGCGAGTGGCCGAACTCGTGCGCCGCCACCTGGAAGAGGTTGGTGCCCCTGTACATGGCGATGGTCCAGTGCTCGTCGTCGTCGAAGTGCGCGTCGCCGCCGTACACCGGGAAGTAGGCGTGGGCGAGGGTGCCGCCGCGGCCGTCGAACGGGTCGCCGTCGCCGTGCTCGCCGCGCTCGAAGCGGATGTCGATGTGCACGTTGGAGCCGCTGGGCTTGGCCGCGAACGACAGGTCGGTGTGGTCGCTCCACACGGCGAAGGCGCGCCGGATCTCCTCGTCCACGGCGTCGCGCGCCAGCCCCGACGGGTACTTGGAGATGCGGTACGTCAGCTGCTTGGTGCGCCAGCGGCTACCTGCGCACGCGCCACGCGCCGGCCGGCTTACACGCTGAACCCCCCCCCCCCCCCCCCCCC